AGTAGGGGTGCGGGTGTGAGTAGGGGTGCGGGTGTGAGTAGGGGTGCGGTGTGGGTGTGAGTAGGGGTGCGGTGTGGGTGTGAGTAGGGGTAGGGGTGCGGGTGTGAGTAGGAGTGCAGGTGTGAGTAGGGGTGCAGGTGTGAGTAGGGGTGCGGGTGTGAGTAGGGGTGCGGGTGCGATGCGGTGTGAGCAGAGAGGCAGATGCAGTGGGGTGTAGGAGCAGGGGCAGGGGGGTGGGATGTGGAGGTGTAGATCCAGTGCAGGTGTGGGGGTGGGTTAGGTGTGTGTACAGGATCAGGTGTAGATTTGGGTGTGTCTGTAGGGTGGGTTAGGTGTGTGTACAGGATCATTGTAGATTTGGGTGTGTCTGTAGGGTGGGTTAGGTGTGTGTACAGGATCATTGTAGATTTTGGTGTGTCTGTAGGGTGGGTTAGGTGTGTGTACAGGATCATTGTAGATTTGGGTGTGTCTGTAGGGTGGGTTAGGTGTGTGTACAGGATCATTGTAGATTTGGGTGTGTCTGTAGGGTGGGTGAGGTGTGTGTACAGGATCAGTGTAGATTTGGGTGTGTCTGTAGGGTGGGTGAGGTGTGTGTACAGGATCAGGTGTAGATTTGGGTGTGTCTGTAGGGTGGGTGAGGTGTGTGTACAGGATCATTGTAGATTTGGGTGTGTCTGTAGGGTGGGTGAGGTGTGTGTACAGGATCAGGTGTAGATTTGGGTGTGTCTGTAGGGTGGGTTAGGTGTGTGTACAGGATCAGGTGTAGATTTGGGTGTGTCTGTAGGGTGGGTTAGGTGTGTGTACAGGATCATTGTAGATTTGGGTGTGTCTGTAGGGTGGGTTAGGTGTGTGTACAGGATCATTGTAGATTTGGGTGTGTCTGTAGGGTGGGTGAGGTGTGTGTACAGGATCAGGTGTAGATTTGGGTGTGTCTGTAGGGTGGGTGAGGTGTGTGTACAGGATCATTGTAGATTTGGGTGTGTCTGTAGGGTGGGTGAGGTGTGTGTACAGGATCAGGTGTAGATTTGGGTGTGTCTGTAGGGTGGGTTAGGTGTGTGTACAGGATCAGGTGTAGATTTGGGTGTGTCTGTAGGGTGGGTTAGGTGTGTGTACAGGATCATTGTAGATTTGGGTGTGTCTGTAGGGTGGGTTAGGTGTGTGTACAGGATCATTGTAGATTTGGGTGTGTCTGTAGGGTGGGTGAGGTGTGTGTACAGGATCAGGTGTAGATTTGGGTGTGTCTGTAGGGTGGGTGAGGTGTGTGTACAGGATCAGTGTAGATTTGGGTGTGTCTGTAGGGTGGGTGAGGTGTGTGTACAGGATCAGGTGTAGATTTGGGTGTGTCTGTAGGGTGGGTGAGGTGTGTGTACAGGATCAGGTGTAGATTTGGGTGTGTCTGTAGGGTGGGTTAGGTGTGTGTACAGGATCAGGTGTAGATTTGGGTGTGTCTGTAGGGTGGGTTAGGTGTGTGTACAGGATCATTGTAGATTTGGGTGTGTCTGTAGGGTGGGTTAGGTGTGTGTACAGGATCAGTGTAGATTTGGGTGTGTCTGTAGGGTGGGTAAGGTGTGTGTACAGGATCATTGTAGATTTGGGTGTGTCTGTAGGGTGGGTGAGGTGTGTGTACAGGATCAGTGTAGATTTGGGTGTGTCTGTAGGGTGGGTGAGGTGTGTGTACAGGATCAGGTGTAGATTTGGGTGTGTCTGTAGGGTGGGTGAGGTGTGTGTACAGGATCAGGTGTAGATTTGGGTGTGTCTGTAGGGTGGGTTAGGTGTGTGTACAGGATCATTGTAGATTTGGGTGTGTCTGTAGGGTGGGTTAGGTGTGTGTACAGGATCATTGTAGATTTGGGTGTGTCTGTAGGGTGGGTAAGGTGTGTGTACAGGATCAGGCGTAGATTTGGGTGTGTCTGTAGGGTGGGTTAGATGTGTGTACAGGATCATTGTAGATTTGGGTGTGTCTGTAGGGTGGGTGAGGTGTGTGTACAGGATCATTGTAGATTTGGGTGTGTCTGTAGGGTGGGTTAGGTGTGTGTACAGGATCAGGTGTAGATTTGGGTGTGTCTGTAGGGTGGGTGAGGTGTGTGTACAGGATCAGGTGTAGATTTGGGTGTGTCTGTAGGGTGGGTGAGGTGTGTGTACAGGATCATTGTAGATTTGGGTGTGTCTGTAGGGTGGGTGAGATGTGTGTACAGGATCATTGTAGATTTGGGTGTGTCTGTAGGGGTGGGTTGGGTGTGTGTACAGGATCAGGCGTAGATTTGGGTGTGTCTGTAGGGTGGGTGAGGTGTGTGTACAGGATCATTGTAGATTTGGGTGTGTCTGTAGGGTGGGTGAGGTGTGTGTACAGGATCAGGTGTAGATTTGGGTGTGTCTGTAGGGTGGGTTAGGTGTGTGTACAGGATCATTGTAGATTTGGGTGTGTCTGTAGGGTGGGTAAGGTGTGTGTACAGGATCAGGCGTAGATTTGGGTGTGTCTGTAGGGTGGGTTAGATGTGTGTACAGGATCATTGTAGATTTGGGTGTGTCTGTAGGGTGGGTGAGGTGTGTGTACAGGATCATTGTAGATTTGGGTGTGTCTGTAGGGTGGGTTAGGTGTGTGTACAGGATCAGGTGTAGATTTGGGTGTGTCTGTAGGGTGGGTGAGGTGTGTGTACAGGATCAGGTGTAGATTTGGGTGTGTCTGTAGGGTGGGTGAGGTGTGTGTACAGGATCATTGTAGATTTGGGTGTGTCTGTAGGGTGGGTGAGGTGTGTGTACAGGATCATTGTAGATTTGGGTGTGTCTGTAGGGGTGGGTTGGGTGTGTGTACAGGATCAGGCGTAGATTTGGGTGTGTCTGTAGGGTGGGTGAGGTGTGTGTACAGGATCATTGTAGATTTGGGTGTGTCTGTAGGGTGGGTGAGGTGTGTGTACAGGATCAGGTGTAGATTTGGGTGTGTCTGTAGGGTGGGTTAGGTGTGTGTACAGGATCATTGTAGATTTGGGTGTGTCTGTAGGGTGGGTGAGGTGTGTGTACAGGATCAGCGTAGATTTGGGTGTGTCTGTAGGGTGGGTTAGGTGTGTGTATAGGATCAGCGTAGACTTGGGTGTGTCTGTAGGGTGGGTGAGGTGTGTGTACAGGATCAGGTGTAGATTTGGGTGTGTCTGTAGGGTGGGTTAGGTGTGTGTACAGGATCGGCGTAGATTTGGGTGTGTCTGTAGGGTGGGTTAGGTGTGTGTACAGGATCAGGTGTAGATTTGGGTGTGTCTGTAGGGTGGGTTAGGTGTGTGTACAGGATCGGCGTAGATTTGGGTGTGTCTGTAGGGTGGGTTAGGTGTGTGTACAGGATCAGGTGTAGATTTGGGTGTGTCTGTAGGGTGGGTTAGGTGTGTGTACAGGATCGGCGTAGATTTGGGTGTGTCTGTAGTTACGGTGACGGCACAGTCTCAGGGCAGTGCACATGGTGGGGGTGAGTGCTGTGGCCCCGTGGAGGGCGCCGGGCGGCACTGAGGGAGGAGCACCGGCTGTGCCTGAGGCAGGGGCCATGTGGAGAGCAGCATGGGGGGGGGGTAGTCAGCCAGCTGGAGTGGAGCGCAGTCTGCCCTGACCCCCCTGTCCGCCTGTCTCCCCCCCACTTTCCTCCGTGTTCCCCTCCAGGCCCCTCTGTGTATGGGCGCAGCGGGCCATTTCCGGGAAGTCTTCTCCCCCACCGCCCCCCTCGCCCCGGCCGCTGGGCAGGCCGCGGCGGCCGCTGGGCAGGCCGGTCTGACGCTGTGTCTCTCCTCCAGCCAGCCCCCCGCCTCGCCCAGCACGCAGGAAGCCATTCAGGGAATGCTGTCCATGGCCAACCTGCAGGCCTCCGACTCCTGCCTGCAGGCCGCGTGGGGCGCGGGCCAGGCCAGGGGCAGCGCGCTGGCGGCCCACGGCGCCCGCAGGAACGGGGCGGGCGGCAAGAGCGCGGGCAAGCGGCTGCTGAAGAGGGCGGCCACGCACCGCGTGGACCTGGACGACTACGAGGAGCAGGACCACCTGGACGCCTGCTTCAAGGACTCGGACTACGGTGAGCGCCGCGGGGTGGCCGGGAGCGCCTTTCCTGGGAGGGAAGCCACAGGCCGCAGCGCCCCGAGAGCGGACGGCGCCCCGAGAGCGGACGGCGCCCCGAGAGCGGGCAGTGCCCCCGAGAGCGGGCGGCGCCCCGAGAGCGGACGGCGCCCCGAGAGCGGGCTGTGCCCCGAGAGCGGGCAGAGAGCGGGCAGAGAGCGGGCTGTGCCCCGAGAGCGGACGGCGCCCCGAGAGCGGGCAGTGCCCCCGAGAGCGGGCTGTGCCCCCGAGAGCGGGCGGTGCCCCCCGAGAGCGGGCAGAGAGCGGGCAGAGAGCGGGCGGCTCCCCCGAGAGCAGGCGGCGCCCCAGTCCCGAAGCCAAGGCGCTCTGCGCGTGAGGGAAGGCACTGTCCTGAAAGCAGTGTGTTGGTCCGGGTCTGGGCCAGTGTCTGGTGGGAAGCAGAGGAATGTGGGGTCCCAGAGGAGGGACAGAGCGGCTCCCGCCGGCAGCTGGCGCTCTGGCCCGGCAGGCGGGCAGCAAGTCCCCGCCCCCTCCCGCAGGTGAGGATGCCCCGGGCACCGAGGACACTGCCTCTGCCGGCTCCCGGCTCCACTGCTATGGGCGCACACACACACACACACACAGTGGTGCTGAGTGTATTTGAGCTGTGTCACCATCACTACAGCCAGTCTGAGCCTGTCACCAGGCCTAGAGGAAGCCACTCCCCCGCCCTGTCCGGCCCCGGGGAGCCTTGTCCCTGACGGCCTCGGGGTGTCTGCTCGCTGCACCCAGCGGTGCTCGGCCCTGGTGTCTGGCTTCTGTCCTCCGCGTCCTCAGGGCTCACCACATGGCAGCCCCTCACGTGATGGCCGAGTGCCAGCACACAGCGTGGTGGCCGAACACGTGTGCACACCGCACCGTGCGCCCCCCCCCTCCCCGCAGAGCACACCGGGGCGTCCGCCTCTGGGCGTTGTGACTAGCGCCGCGTGAACACTGGTGTGAGGGGTCTGTGTGGCCCGTGCCAGTGTGCCCAGCACATACGTGGAGGCCATGCTGGCTCCAGAAGGGGGTTTGGAAGCGAGGAGCTGCCCAGGGACACGTCCTTCCCGCGGGCACAGCGTGCTAACGGCCCGGCTCCCAGGGTTCGGAGCGCGCTGCCCGCGCTGTAGGCCCGCCTTCAGCGCGGCCCCGATGGCCCACGGCCCCGGGCCCTGTCCCCGGTCCCCACAGCCCTCCGGGCTGCCCTGCGCCCTCTGCTGGGCACGGCTGTGCCTCCCGGCCTGCCCCGGGCTGACGCAAGTGGAGTGAGCTCCATTTCCCAGGCACAGGGTGGCTGCTGGGGGTTCGGGTCAGCTTACGGGGCGGGAGGTGGGGCGGCACCTGCACGTCCCCAGAGACGCCCAGGTGGGCCTGGGTGCTCAGCTCACCGGCTCTGTGGACGGGGTTTTGTTTTCCGGTGGCGGAGAGAGCAGCGTTCTCAGAACGGGTGAATGGGCGCCGGGTCAGGCTGCCCAGGCTGTTGAGGTCACCGGGAGGCTGGCCAGGTCCTCTCGGCTGCCCGCTGGCTCCCCCTCTCTGAACCTAAAGGGGCCAGCGCTCTGCACCCGGGGAGGCTCCCTGGACGTCCGTTCCCAGGTGCACAGCGCCCGCGCTGGGTGCTGCTCAGCCTCCCTCCCGTTGCCTCTGCAGTGTACCCCTCCCTGGAGTCTGACGAGGACAGCCCCGTCTTCAAGTCCCGGTCCAAGAAGAGGAAAGCCTCAGACGACGCCCCCTACAGCCCGACAGGTAGAGCTGGCGGGAGGGCTCTGTCCACCCCCAGGACAGCCGTGGCAGGTGGGCGCTCTGCTGGCGAGGGCTGTCCCTGCCTGCCCTCCTGCACCGGCCCCAGCTGGTGGGGGGAGCCTGAGCTTCTGGCCCCCGGATGGCAGCCAGCAGGGGGCGCCTGGTCCACGTTCCACCTGCCCCCCTTCCCTCCCGCCTTGCTGGGTGGGATCGCCTACCCCGTTGGGCCTTTCACCGCCCCCCGCCCCCCCCGAACTTGTGAGGTGTCCCTGGACGCAGGAACAGGCTGGGCTGGGTGGGCCCAGGGGTGCCCGCAGGGCGGGCCGCCCTCTGAGGCTCGTTGACCTTCTTTCCCACAGCGAGGGTTGGCCCATCGGTGCCGAGGCAGGACAGGCCCGTTCGAGAGGGGACCAGAGTGGCCTCCATCGAGACCGGGCTGGCGGCCGCTGCAGCCAAGCTGTCCCAGCAGGTGAGGAGGGCCCTGCCTGATGCAGAAGCCACCCGTCCTGAGGGCTGGCACCGGCCGGGGGTCTGAGTATCGTTGGTTCAGGCCCCGAGTCCCCACAGCTGGGCGGGGGCGGGAACCGGTGGCCGGGCCCTCGCTGCCTGTCGTGGTGAGGACCATGGTCCTAGGTGCAGGGCCCGACCTTTCCTTTGCCACGTCAGCTCCTCCGGGTCCGGGCTCCCTCCGAAGAGAGGATCTCAGACTCTCAGGGGCCACCCAGACCAGGCCCGACCCCATCTGGGCACCTGAGGAGGTGCGCAGGCCCACAGCGAACATTCTAGACTAGGGGTGTCGAACTCAATCAGAGAAGGGGCCAAAATCTAAAATCCAGCCTAAATCGCGGGCCGAATGGTTTACTGAACAGTCATAAACTGTCATTGTGATGGAGACGCAGCGGAGTGCAGTGATGACAGCGCGGTGCAGGCCACATTGCAAGGCCTGGCGGGACGGATTTGGCCCGCGGGCCTTGTGTTTGACACATGTGTTCTAGAGCCAAGAGGCCCGAGGCGGCTCAGAGCAGGGTGACGGAGGAGGGCGCTGGGCATCGACTGCATCCCACGGGGCCCCTGTGCAGGGCCTCCCCCGCATGGGGGAGCGTGGTGCCCTCCTGGGTGCCCCCTGCAGGCACTGGCCCAGCCTCTCGGCCCCAACAGCGCTGGCCCTCAGCTCCCGGGAGAGGCCTGGAGCTCAGGGACCCGCCTCCCCGGGTCCAGGTGGTGAGGGCTGCTCTGCCTGCCCGCCTGCACCTGAGCCCGCCCCGCCCGCCGGCTAACCTGCCCCGGCTTCGTCCCCAGGAGGAGCAGAAGAGCAGGAAGAAGAAGAACTCCAAGAGGAAGCTGACGCCCAACACCACCTCCGCCTCCGCCTCCGCCTCCGCCTCCGCCTCCGCCTCGGCCAGCAGCACCTCGGCCTCCACCACCCCCGCCTCCGCCACCCCCGCCTCCACCAGCACGGCCTCCACCAGCACGGCCAGCAGCCAGGCCTCGCAGGAGGGCAGCTCGCCCGAGCTCCCGCCCGAGGCGCACAGCAGCAGCCTGGCGGACCACGAGTACACGGCGGCGGCCGGCTCCTTCGGCGGGGCCCCGGCCAGCCGCGCCTCCCAGCCCATGGCGCCCGGGGTCTTCCTCTCGCAGCGGCGGCCCTCCGCGTCCTCCCCCAACAGCGCTGCCGCCAAAGGTACCGTGCCCGCCCGCCCCGCGCAGCCCCGGCCGGCGGGCCGCCTGCGCAGGTGACCGCAGGCTCCTGTCCGGAGCCCGCGTGTGGCCGCAGCCCGCGGGGAAGCCGTGGCCTCCGCAGGCTGAGGGCCAGGGCCCCACGCTGGGGGCAGGGCGCCTGGTTGCCTGAGTTTGGCCCAGGCCCCCAGGGCATTGGCTTTGGCCCAGCTTGGAGTCAGGGTGTGGTAAACGGATTGCCAAGGGAGGGGTCCAGGGGGACTGGCCCAGGACCCTCTGTGAATTGGGGGTGGCACAGCTGCCTGGCATCTCCCCGTCCGGCCCCCGGCCCCCCCGGCCTTGTTAGTGGTTGGCTCACTCCTCCCGCCTCGGACTCCGCTCCCAGCAGTCCTTCCCGCTGGCCGTGAGGCCCAGGGGCGGGGGCACAGCTCGGGGCTCCAGGTGGCCCTGTCGCCAGGAGGTAGGCAGGGATCTCACTTCACCCGGTGCCATTGCCTGGCCCGTCCCACCCCACGCCTTCGTCCCTGCCCCGGCGACGGGGTTCGGTGGAAGATCCGTGCTTCCGTTCGGAGGGTGCAGGTCCCCCAGGCTCGGGGCCGCAGACTGCACTCCCCGCCCCGCTCCCCGTGCCCTCTCACACAGCTGTCGCCTTTTTGTGTCCCCTCTTCTACCCCCAGGAAAGCGTACAAAAAAGGGCATGGCCACCGCCAAGCAGAGGCTTGGGAAAATTTTGAAAATTCATCGGAATGGAAAGCTGCTCCTTTAAAGTTTGGAGAGCCAGGATCCTTCTGCTCCGCTCAGGACCCCGGAGCCCCGCCTCGCCGTCAGCCCCCCGGAGGGTGCCGGCCTCCGCCAGCCTCCGCCCCCGCCCTGAGCACGCCCGGCGCTCCGCTGCGGACAGATGTCCCTTCTCACGTCGCTTAGAGTGACCAGGGCCCGGAGCTCGGCCCCGCCAGTCTGAGGACCCTTCCGGTTTCGGGGCCTCTAGGCACCCGAGCGCGGAGGTGGCAGGGCCTCGGCAGCTCTGCTGGGAGCACGAGTCCTTCGAGGAAGGAGGAGTGAGCCAACACTCACCAGGCCCAGAGCCTGGGCCAGCCACAGGCTGGGAGCCTCCAGAGGCTTAAAAAAAGGCAAAGAACACGAGAGAGGAAGAGGAGGAGAAAGCAGGGTGTCTGTGTGCCCCCATCTCTTCCCGAGTGGCTCTCCGGCCTGTCCGGAGAGCCGTCCCCCTGGCTCCCTGGCCGGCCAGACGGTGGGTGTCGCCCCGGAATGCCCAGGGCATTTCTAGGAACGACGGGGCCGGCAGCAGGGTCAGCGTTTCCGTGGGTCGGGGAGCCACTGCGGGAGGCCCCGGGGCCCAGGCAAAGCCACAGGGTGGGTCCTGTCCAGTCCCACTGGCCACACTCCCAAAAGCACTTGCCAGCCCAGGCGCCCTGCCCCGGGCCTGGCGGGGCGGAGGGCGGCCGGGCGGCCCAAAGATGCGGGGGCCTGGCACTCTGTCCTGTCACCTGGCACTTGGTGTCGCGTGCGTGGGCGGCTCCTGGACCGAGCCCGCCCATGGACACGGAGGGCTGGATTTGTTTCTCAGGCAATCCTGTATTTTAATTTCAGATGTACTTCCTGAAGCATATTTTTCATAGAATGTAGCGTGTAAATAGCTTTTTAAATAACTTCTTTTTTATAAGAGTAAAAGTATCTTTAGGAATTTCTTTCTAGAGTCCTTCATTAACATTTATACGAGTTTTTTGCCGAGTCTGATGAACAGTTGGGTTTCCGATGCTTTTTCTTTTCCCTCCTCTTTTTTTTTTTTTTTTTTTTTTTTTTTTATTGCTATGGTTATTTTTTAATTTTATTTTAGAGACTAAGGTATTGCCTGAAAAACAAGTAATGTCTGTGCAGCCTTATATCTGTCTTTACAGAAGCAAACAGTACACAAAAGATCTATTTCAGATATGTTTGAAGACGCGTCTTCAACTTGAATACCAGCTTTCTTTCCTTCTTGTTGATGAAGGGGTGGGGGACAGTTATTTTACTAGCACCTTGTGAAGTGTTCTGTGTTTTGTGATGCTGTAATTTATTAATGTTTGTAGCTTTTTATATTTGTATATTTCTTATGAGCTTTGTTTATATGCCCATCCCCGGGTGTGCTGTCCGCAGGGAGAGGCCGCCTCGCGCAGGCCTGGGCCTGGCCCGCCTGGCGGGGGCGTGGCTGCCGAGCCGGGTGGGCACGGCCGCACCCACGGACCCGTCCGCCCCAGTCCAGCGTTCCGAAGGTTTCCTTGCCTGTTACTGTTGAACATTTATATAATCTAACCCGGCCATCAAACTGTTCTCTCTCTCTCTTATTTTTTAATTTTATTATTATTTTGGCAACATGTACATTTCTAACAAAGTTTATCGTGGCTATTAAAGTGTTTTATTTCCCAATTCATATTACTCTTGTATTGAGTCCATGAGGCCTAAGGCAACTTAAATCAAAGTTTTAAAAGAGTAAAGATATTTCAGGTTTTGTACAGAACCATGTCTGTGTCATTTCTGCCTCGGTCACCACCGTCCGTCCTGCAGGGAGGGTGTAGGGGTCCTGGGGTGGGGTGGGGGGCACTGCGGTTGGGGGGTCAGGTCTTGCGCACCCTGAGGGCCGGATGGAGGGTGGCAGTCAGACCGGGTCCCCTGCCGCCAGTGTTCCGAGACTCCTGATGGCCTGTGGGCTCACGCACTGCCTGCACCCTGAGCAGCCTGCAGGAATGGGCAGAAGACCCCACTTCGAGACCCTGACCTTACTGGCCGCAGCCCCCGGCACCCTCTGACACCTTGTGGTTCCCAGATGGGCAATTTGGCTGAGTCCAGCGAGCACAGGGCCGACAAGCAGGCCCTCAGGGATAAACACAGGCTTTCGTCTACAGCTGATGTTCACAGGAATGAGCGAAAGCAGAGCCCACCCCCAGCCCCCACCCCGCACAGACAAGTGTGGGCTCTGAAGATCAAGGACTGGAGGGAAGGAAAGGCAGTTGCCAGAGGGGGCGCTGCAGAGGAGCGCTGGGGCTGCTGGGCCTCACTGGGCCCTGGGACAGCACCCTCTCCCTGGGCGCCCACAGTTAAGTGTCCATTCTGCAGGACCCCCGGGAGCATGCCCCCCGCCCCCAACCCCCCCGGCCAGGACTGCACCGGCCTGGCACTGTTCTACCCAAATGCAGCCAGACTTGGCCGCGTGGCGCCCCACACCCTCATCTCACAGAACCGGGGGACCCTGCCTGGCCCTTGGCTGCCCTCTGCAGCGCTCCCCCCCCCAGGCCCAGTTCTGCCCCCTCCACACCATCCAAAGCTGGTGGTCCTGAGCCCAGGCCCCGGAGGCTAAGCTGTGCTCCATGGTCTCCAGAGGGCTGTCAGGCAGGGCTCCCAAAGGCCACCCAGAGTCCCCAAGGTCAGGCGCCATCCTGGTCCGCACCCACGCAATCCTGGTGCCGTGTGGGCCAGCCCTGCCGTGGGACCTCACTGTGGCCCCATGCGCAAGGTGATCAGGTGTCTGCATGCACCTGAGACTCACGTGTCTGGGTGAGCTTGTGGCAGGCGTGGCAAGGAGCCAGGTCTTCTCTCAATCTGGGGCTGAGAGCCTTGACAGTGAGCTGGGAGGGAGGGGATGAATGTGCTCCCAGCATGGCCCATGGGCCCAGCTCCAGCTCCTTCCTCCCTGGCTGTGGTCCCACTGGAAGGGGAGACTGCCAGGCAAGCTCCGCATGAAGGCCCCCAGGCCATCCCTGCACCTGGGCCTTCCCCAGGGCTTCCTGAGGGCTGGGCGTGAAGGTGGACAGTCAGGCCAGGAGAAACCTTCCAGGCACCTTGGACCCATCCTGTGTGCAGTCCCCTCTCAGGGTCTCAGGACCAGACCAGAGGGGTGTCCCCAGCATGGCAGGTCAGTGGCATGCAAAGACCCAGGGCAACAGGCCCTGAGGACTCAGAACCAAGACCCTCCTCCCCCCCAGGCTCTGCTCGCCAGACTGGCTCACAGGGGTCCTGGCAGTGCTAGTGCCTCGCCAGATGTGCAGGACCCCTTGCCCTTCGCCGTTCTGCAGCCCCTGGTGGCAGTTGCTGGTGTGAGAGTGGAGCACCACCATCCTCTGGTTGTCCTGGGGCTGCAGGATGCCATGGTTGGGGTCCTGGAGTCCCCCTGCGAGGAGAGCCACCTGGCCAGCAGAGGACTTCGCAGAGAAAACGTGAAGACCTGCCTGCAAGGCCTCGGAGATGGGCAGGCTCCGTCCTGCCGGGATGCGGAGCCGCCGCAGCCCCTGCCCTGAACGGCGCTGAAATGATCAGCCTGTAACTCAGATCTCCGAGGTTCAGTTGGATCCAGAGTCATTTTCTGAGCACCTACTGTGTGCTAGGCTGTTGAGGATCTTTCAGAGCCTTCATCAAAGCCGACAACAAGCCCACTTTGCCAAGGACACCAAGCTAAGCAAAGGCCTGCTGCCCCGCGCCTTGCCAGCTCTGGGACCCTAACCATCGCCGGCTCCCTCGGACAGTAGGACATACGGTGTCCTTTAAAATCCGGGTAGAGGGTGGTGTTAGATGTCCTCGGAGCCACCCACAGGAGATGACAATGTCTTTTTTTATTTTTAAATAAATCTTTATTTTTCAGATTATTACAAATGTTCCTCTTCCCCTCCCCCTCAATTGCTCCCCTCCACCAAGTTCCCACTCCACCCTCTGCCCTTTCCCCACCTCCCATTGTCGTCATCCATAGGTGCTCAGTTTTTATTCAGTCTCTTCCCGCACCCCCTCTCCGCTTTTCCCTGAGAATCGTCAGTCCACTCCCCTTCCATACCTCTGATTCTATTATATTCACCAGTTAATATTGTTCATCAGATTTTTAAATTCCCTTGGCTTTTCATTTCACTTGTTGATAGTTACATATTTGTGTTCATAATTTTTATCTTTATCTTCTTCCTCTTCCTAAAGAACCCCCTTCAGCAATGCATATAATTCTTGTTTGGGGGTGATGAACTCCTTTAGCTTTTTTTTACTTGTGAAGTTCTTTATCTGGCCTTCAATTCTGAGTGATAGATTTGCTGGGTACAGTATTTTTGGCTGTAGGTTCTTGCTATTCATCACCTTGAATATTTCTTGCCATTCCCATCTGGCCTGCATGGTTTTGGTTGAGAAATCAGCTGACAATCATATTGGTGTTCCTTTATAGATAACTACCTGCTTTTCTCTTGCTGCTTTTAATATTCTCTGTCTTTTGCTCTTGGAATTTTAATTATGATGTGTCTTGGTGTGGTCCTCTTTGGGTCCCTTTTGTTTGGGATTCTGTGCGCTTCCTGTACTTGCAAGTCTATTTCTTTCACCAGGTGGGGGAAGTTTTCTGTTACTATTTCTTCCAATATGTTTTTGGTATCTTGCTCTCTCTCTTTTTTTGGGACCCCCATAATTCTGATGTTGGTTTGCTTAAAATTGTCCCAGAGGTTTCTTACACTATCCTCAACTTTCTGGATTCTCTTGTCTTCTTACTTCTGTGGAGGAGTGTCCTCTGGCTCTTTGTGTTCCAAATCTTTGTCTTAATTCTTGCGATCTTACAGACTGTTTTTAGGACTCTGTGTAATATTTTTTATTTCAGACAATGTTTTCTTTATTTCTAGTTGATCCCTTTTTATTTCTTGTTGATCCCTTTTCATATCCTCATAGATCTCATTTATTTTATTGGCCTTTTTAAGGAAATTATTGAAAAACCTTATAACTGTAGTTTTGAACTCAATGTCCATTCTTTTTTTTTTCTCCCCCCCCCCCCATCTCCTTTTTTTGTGTTCTGCCTCTTCTTTGCATTTTAGCTTCTTCCTTGATTTGATGGAATAGTTTTGTGTGCTAGGTGTTCTGGTAGAACCCAGTAGCACAGCCTTCCCAGTTATCTGAGGAGGACAGTTTTGGTGTAGCCCTTTGTGGGCTGTGTGTGCAGTCTTGTTGTTAAGTCCTGCTTGTTGTTGGTATCACTGGGAAGCGTTGATCTCCAAGCCAGTTGGCTGTGAAGATCAGCAGTGTCTCAGCTAGGAGGACTTCTGTACTCTGCTTGGGTGGGGTGGAGTCTCAAGGTGGTGCAGACAAGCTTTGGATTCGGCCCTCCTCAGGAGAGTCCAATTTGCGGTGAACGAGAAAGCCAGCCTCCTGGAGGGTTTTCGTGCTCCGCTTGGATAGGGCGGAGTCTTAGGGTGGTGCAGACAAGCTTTGGTTTCTCCTCGGTCTTTCCCTGAGTCCTGCAGTAATGGCCGCTGGCTTCACACACCTCCAAAAGATCTCTGCCCACTGCTCGGCAGTCTGGCCTCTCCCTGACTGGGGCCATCCATCAGGGCAATAGGGTGGTTCTGTTTTCCTCCCAAACAGGAAAGCCAGCTGCATTAGCTGTCCGCCCTCTCTGGGTGCCACAAGTAAGCCAGGAGCGGCCTCGGGTGGCTGCCTTTTCTCACGCACAGATCTCTGCACCCTTACAGTTCTCGAGGTTCAGCGTGCCTTCTCTCTCCTTCCTGGATGGTAGAGCCTCCTCTCAGCCAGTCGTCCGGCACTTCAAGGCGATGTGTTTCCCGTTTTCCAGCTCTAAATTCAAAATTTTTGTGGTAGGCTGCATTCAGGTGTCTACCCTATGCCACCATTTTGGTTTCTCTTGATGATGACCATGTCTTCAGCCAATGTGAGCAAAGGCCCTGGGCAGCTCAGGGTGCTAAGATGGTGCGAGTGAGGTGGGGCCAGTTCAGTGAGGACCTAGGGCACCCACACGGGGACCTGGCAGGCTCCGGGGAGGCCCTGCAGGCTAGTGAGCAGGTGCAGTGCTTCTCTTGGGGAGCAGCTCCTGGAGAAGGGCTGAGAACAAGACCCCCAGGGGTCCCCTCACCCCCTTGCCCTGTGCCCATCAGCACATTCCCAGGGTCGCTGCATGGGTGGGGAGCTCAGCACTGCAGGCAGCTCTGCATGGCCCTGCTGTCTGGAAAGGATTCTGCTGGGCCCCTGGGGCAATTCTGAGAGTGACCAGTAGAGGGCAGGGGAGGGCTGGGAACAAGGCGTCCTAGGATCAGTGCCCGGTGCTGGGCAGACTGGAGGGAGCAGGGTGGAGCTGAGAAATAAAGTTATCAGCGGCTGCGAGTACTGGCAAGGAGGTGGTAACCATCAGATCAGCTTTGTCCTGAAATAGTTATGTTTTCGATGTGCCAGGATCTGTGTTAGCACACCTTAGCACATTCCGAGGAAAGGCCTATGACAGTCTCTATCTTACCAATAGGGAAACGGAGGCACAGAGCCTCATAGCTGATGGAGCTGGGGTTCCAGTCCCGGCAGGCCAGCTCCAGGGCCCTTGGGCTTATGGGACGGACCCCCAGGGAGGTCTTTCTGTAGGAAGTGGCCAGATGGGCCGTTCCCCAAGTCCCCAAGAGGCGGAGCTGTGCCGGCGCATAGAAAGGAGCTGCTGTGCAGAGGCCCTGAGGTAGCGGCCAGGTGAGGTGCCTGCCTTTGAGGGGACAGCTGGAGGGAGAGCTGGGTGCA